CCAGGAGGCTGTTGGCCTCTGGGCCACCTGTGCACACGCTGCCTCATCTCCAGCCTCCTATCGACCAACCCCCTCCCAGATCCTTTTCCACCAGGCACTTTCCAGCCCCTCTGCCCCATATTGGAGCAGTGCAGGGGGTTGCCTTGTTGTGGGTTGCCCTCGTGTCCAGCTAACACCTCCTTCCCCCCTGCTCTGCTCAGAAGAACACCTTGAGGTACTATCTCTTCGAGGGCATGCGCTACGTCTGGATCGAGCGCCGACAGGCCTACTGCAAAGTCAGGTATTTATTCCCCTCTCCCGCCCTACCCCAGCAAACCATCTCTCTGCTGCTCTCCTCGGCCCTTCAACCCCCCCAAAAAAATGGTCCTGACCCAGCTGGGAGTCCCATCACCACGCTGGAGGTTTTCTGGGTCAGGAGAGCCTCTCTGCCCTCTCCAGGAGCTGCTGGTGGGCAGAGGAACCGGTTTGGCAGCTGGATGGTCCTCGCAGCTCTCCAAACTGGGCCCCTTTTGTTCCTGCTCCTTGGCACCCGCGAGCTGCCATCGAGGCTGAGGAACAAGATGCTCTCCCTTTTCCCAGAGGGTTGTTTTTTTTGGTCACCAAGCTCTTGGACGTGGTGTTTGTTCCCCTGCTGATTTTGACTCCGTTTCTCTGGTTTTCTTTCCCCCTCGCCAGCGTCTTGGATGAAGGTTGGACCTGCGCAGATCTCCACCTCTCCCAGGCTGGGCTCCACCAGCAAGACCACAGCACCAGGTAGGGATCTGCCAGCTTTGGGGGGCAGCTGGGGCAGCACAGGAGAGGCTTTTCCAGGGGCTTTGCACAGATTCCAGGGATGAGGCTTTTTCTCCAGGTCCTGGAGCTTGGGGGTTACTTGCATGCAAACAGAGGACAGCTGGGTGGGCTGGATGACCTTGGCTTGGCTTCCCCACATAACCAGGCTCCCTTGGAGCTCTGGGCAGCAGGAGGGTCCTTCCAGCTGGGAATGCAGCTTTTCCCTACCATGCATTTCCCCTCTCCCCTTTGCAGAAGGAAGATCTATGGACCCAACCTCATCGAGGTGCCAGTCAAGTCCTACGTGAGGCTGTTGGTGGAGGAGGTGTGCATCAAAAGGTCCCAGGGCAGATCCTTCCCCTGCTCCAGCCCCTTCACTGCGAGTGTTTTGTGGGCCCTTCCACTCTGCTAGAGAGGAGAGGACTTTAGGAGAGGCAGCTTGGGCTGAGATTAGAGAAGGCAGAGCTGGTATGGCCGTGGAGGGGACCTGTCCTGCTTCTTTTAGCTCAGACAGGAGCATCCCCAGAGGTGACTGAGCATCCTCAGGACCATAAGCAAAACCAGGGAGGGGGGAGGGTTTGGAAGAAGTCAGTTCATCCCCAGCTCCAGGGAAGGGGAACTTCTCCTTTGCTGGAGAACAGCTTCTCCAGTTGTTCCTCAAGGAGCCTGGAGGTCTCACGATGGGCTGGAAGCAGCTCTCCTCCCCCAAACCTGCTCCCTCTCCTTGTTCCCTTCCAGGTGCTCAATCCCTTCTACATCTTCCAAGTGTTCAGCATCGTGCTGTGGGTCTGCGACGCCTATTACTACTATGCTGCCTGCATCTTCCTCATCTCCACCATCTCCTTAGGGCTGTCCCTCTATGAGACAAGGAAGGTTGGTGGTGGGCTTATTTGGGACAAGCAGCTCTAGTGAAATAGCCCATTATTCTGATGCTGTTTGACCTGTGTGCTGATGTTGAACTCCCTCTGAGC